GATCTGCCTGTTCTGCTCCCCATTCTGTCTCTGGTGAATCCTCTCACCCTCCACATCTCTGGCCTGTACCCCAATTCTGTATGAATAAATAAATAAATCTTTTATAAAAAAAAATTAATGCACCAGCAATAGAAGATCATTTTTCAATTCTTCGTGTATTTTAGGTAATTGAGGTGATCTTGGTTTTTTTCTTTTACCCAACTCTACTCAGTTTTTCTGCAATATTAGAAACAACTGATTAGTAGAGACTTGTCAGTTCTGCTTACTGAAGGGAAACAACTTTCAAATTCCTTGAGTGCTAATTTAAGCTTACATCAGCAAATTTTCTCTTCAGGTCCCTGGAGGGTGAAGCTCATCATAGAAAATAATTTTTTTCTTTTTTGATGATTTGGTTTGTAACTCTCTTTTATGGTTTCCCTTCATGACTTTATTAGCCACTTTTAAGTTAAAAGTGCTGCAGCGGTGGCCTGTGCTGGCAGATGTTCAAGCCCAGCCAACCGTTGCTTTAGCTGAAGGAAAATTCCCACTAGTCAAAACCAGACTCTGACGGGATCTCTTTTTAGAATGAGCCTTTTAAGTACAGTTCTGCTTTAAACAAAAAAATAAAAATAAATAAAACAGTTCTTCCTCTAAAGGGAAGGTGAATGCAAGAGCATCACATGATGTTCTTCCCAAACATTGACATTCGAGGATAAAATTTTTTGAAAGACAAAGCCTCTGGGGCAGTTGAACTTATACCTAGAATCCTGAATGACTTACAGGTTTCAATTAGGGTCAATTCACTCCGGAATCCTAAAAAACCTTCATAGATCTGATGGGTTAGAGGAACAGGCCTTAAGGTAACCATTGACCAACACCACCAGAGCAAGTTTCTGGGGGAATAAAACAGCTTTCATCTTAAACTTGGAGTCTGACAGTTGGAGAGTCCAGTTTCTTGAGAAGTTATGTTTGAGTTCAGTGCCAAAGGAGGCTCTGGGAATTAAGGAGTTTTAAGTTATTGTTACTTTCAGTAAAATGTTCAGACAGCAATAGGCTGATCTCTAGGAAAAAGTGCCCATTCAAATGCAAAGCCAGGTATCCCCACAAACCAGATATCTCAGTCCATTTGAGCTGCCATACAAAATATCAGATAGAGGGTATTTTATTAACATATATATTTATTTATTTATTTTTCACCCTTCCAGAGGCTAGAAGTCCAAGAGCGAGATGGCAGCATATTCAGGCTCCTACAGGACCCTCTGCCAGCCTTCAGGCTTCATTTGTAGCCTCACATGGCCACTTAGAGGAAAGGGAGTGAATGGGGGAGCTCTGGGCCCCGCTTACCAGGGGACTAATCCCATTCATAAGGTCTGCACTTTCAAGACTTAGTCACCTCTCTAAGTGCCCTCCTCTTAATACTATTATAACAGCGGGATAATTTCACCATAAAGATTTGGGTGGATACAACCTGTCAGCCTGTCACAGTGGGACTAGAAAGCACAGGCTTCTGTGAACACAGTGTGGCCAGCACCTCTGATGGGCCAGGACAAGGGAAGTGACTTGGCTGTGGTCTCCTGCAGGACCCAGCAGTCGGGGCCTTCTAGAGTGGCGAACACACTTTCATTGAGGTCTTAGGCTAAGGGATTCAAGTGAGACACTCCAGATCGCCTACAAATAGGGTGGGTGTGGGGGAGGGGTGTTCCTCCAGTTACAGGAGGCAGTAAAGATCAGAAATCAGTTACCTCTAGTGTGGGATTTTCTTGTGAAAACCAAAATTCACAATAATTTAAATATCCTTTTCATTGAGAAGCTTCCAAGTATTGAACTGATCTCTCCCATATTTATCACCATGTTTGCTTCCTCGTTATAGCTTTGCAAATCAGATGAAAAATGAAAAAGAGAAACAAAGAGAGAGGGAAAAAGGAAGAGATAGAAGGAAGACATTTGCTCATAAAAAAATAAGTAATTTTCCCAACTAACAGCAAATTCCAGATCAGATCTCCATGCACCCATGAAAGGATGCTACCTCACTTGCCTACCTGATTTTGTGATTTGGTTATCCATTCCTCTTTCTTTTGCAGTCAAAAAATATAATCAACTATTTCTTAGGTACTGTGTCAGCATGAGAGGTGCAACTGTGAATTGAAGAAATATATTTCCTCCCTTCACGGAGTTTGCAACCTAGTGAGGTTGAGCTGACGAATAAGCCAAAAAACAGACTAGAATATAATGAAATAGCCAAGTGTGAGGGGTGTAATTAGCAGGGTATTGCTAGAGATATGGGTGTTGAGGTAGGGGAAGGCTTTATGTGTTAGTTTTCCTCAGAGAACCATACAGTTACTTGATAAGACAAAGAACAAAATGGATTATTCATGCCCAACTTTAAAAATAAAATCCTTGATCACTCAGGTCTGGTAAATGAGGACTCCATGACTTCGTCTGTGACTGCTGACTTGGAAAAGTTCAAACTTTGCAGAAATCATGTGTGCACGGTGAATGAAGTGAAGACAATTAGTGCCCCTATACAATGCTGTGTGCCTCCTGTGGTATGAGTATATTTTGTCATCTGTGTAACTTACATTTAAAGTCCTCCTAGTTACTGGGCTTTCCCTGGTGGTGCACTATGAAGCTGTCTGCAGTCACTGCAGCATGAGTTCGATCCCCGGCCCCAGAGGGGACCCACATGGTGCAGCAGACCTCTCCTGTCTCACCCACTGAGCCCCTCAACAGTGTATATCTGCCTGTTCTGCTCTCCACTCTGTCTCTTGTGGTTCCTCTCTCTCCGACACCTCTCGCCTGTATCCCAGTTCTTGTGTGCACAAATAAATACTTTTCAAGAAGTCCTCCTCGCTGTCATGACAGTATCTCATGACAATGTCTGCCTGTGTTACCTGTGCCCATGGCTTTGGCCACTGTGAGTCTCTCTGGACGGGAATGGCCTCCCCTTTTTCAAGGGATAACAGTCTTGGAAAGAAAAACTTAAAGTTTGGAAGTGAATTGACTTAAAAAGTGACTAATTGGCTTAAGTTCACCTCTCTGTTTTTTATTGTTTTGACTTATTAAA